TGTCGTACGAGATGGCCCTTGCAGTAACCTTTATCCCTGTGATTCAGTGCATCCAAGTGAGCCCCGTGGACAAGACACCCCATACAGGCAGGAATAGGTAAATGAGAAGCGAGGGTTTGAATGGTGCCCACCAGAGAGACTCTAGTGGTCATTTTCATCCGAGGCCGGGGTGGGTGGGCTGCGGCATGGTTGGCAGAGCCCAGCAGTAAATAGTTCCTCCTCCGCCCTCCCAGCCTCCCCCCCAACGCTGTGCATTAGGATCCCAGTAGGTGCTGGGTCTTTGCACCAGAAGTAACACTGGCAAGAAAGGTGACCCCACTTTAAGCAAATTCGCTTCGTGCAGAAAAACTTTACCCAACAGCGCCCTGTCCTACATTAACAGATTCCCCATCAGGCATCTTCAAATCTCAAAGTGTGAGAACCATAGTGGGGCTCAAGAGATTGACTCTGCCAACTTTCCGATTTGACAGATGGAGGCCCCGAGGCCTGAGAGGAAGGCCACACAGCAGTGCCAGTCCCCAGCTGGGGTGAAAACTCAGGGCTCCTGACTTCAGTGGTTCTCTTCCTATGTTTGACCATCTTTGGTTACATCTGTGCAGGGATGTGTTCTCTTTCATACCTTCATTTTGGATTAGCTAGGCCATTCATGTGTGCAGCTGTAAAGGCAGGTTGCATTTTTGCAACTATAGGTTCAAATGAATTCTGCCATTGGAAAACCACACTTTATGTGGGTCATTTTCCCACCAGGGGGAAATTCATATCTGGCCTGGCGGTGGCAAAGACTCCTCCTCCTGGGGGACCTCTTCCTCGGTGTTTTATTCTCCTCTGTGAAGATGGGGCAGTGGGGAGAGCAGTAGTGAAGCCAGGGAGACAGGTGACCGAGGGATACGGCTCCGAGCCTGGCTTCCTCCCGCTGACCAGGTGACCTCAGGCAAGTCCCTTGATGGCCCATGTCTTCATCTGTAACATGGGAAGATAATGCTCACCTTGGGGGTTGTGAGGAGTAAATTAGAGGAACTATTTGAAACATCTGGCAAATAATTCCCAGTTCAGAAGTCAGATTCAGGTGTCTACCTGTCTGGAGGCGCTCCCCAGCTCTGCTACATACTAGCTTTATAGCCCTGTATCAGCTACTTAAACTCGCTTGTTCTCAGTTTTCTCATCTGTAGTATGAGGTCAATAATAGTACCTAACTTATAGAGATGTGGTTCCCAAAGGGATGTGGTTCCCAAACTGTGTGCCCAGGCACCCTAGAATGCTACAGGGGCTGCTGTGGGATATTTTTAATCTCCATGGAAACACAGCAATGGACAGCTGCCAGATACCACAACAACTACTAGCTCAAGACAGCTTACAATTTCAGCGTCACACACACTTCTTTCCTTTAGATGGCCCCATACCTTTGCAAAGCTGGGAATTTGGCACTTGGGAGTACTCTGAGACAAACTGTGAGGGCAGCAATGTCCCCTATGATTCCAAGACATCCCCATTATAAGTCATTGTGGATATATAGGAATGGAATACAAATATTACCTTTCTTTCAATTTACGTGTATTATTTTTCCCAATGGATACTAAGTTGCTAGGATATACACACACCCACCCACAAACACGTAAGCTGGTTGGATCTAACTACTTAATAAACAAAACCACTAGGAATTTCTTTTGGCCGTGGGGTAAAATTACTGGGTAAAAATTACCAAGACAGTAAAGACCAAAAAAGTTTGGGAACGTCTGTCAAGGATTGCCGCAGGGCTCAGTGAGTTAATATAAAATAACCCTCTGAAGGCCTCTGGCAGAGGGAGCACCCAGGAACCCCCAACTTCATGATTCTTCCTCCTCCAAGCTGGAGAGGGAAGGCTCAGGTGTCCCCCCTCCAGGACACCTGAAGAACCTTCCTCAGCCGCTAAGGCCCAAGCCAGGGCCAAGGAAGAGGGGACATGTCCACTGGTCAGGACAGGGGCCCGACTCAGTCACTACCCAGGCCCTGGCAGCACCTCCCACACACCTTTAATTTGTGTTCACTGAGCACCTACTGTGTGCCGGCCAGCACGTAGTCCATGGTGGTCCCTGTGGGGAGGAATCTCAGGTCGGCTCTTGCTGCTGCTTCCTTGTTTCCTGCAGGACGTCTGAGGGATGGGGATGAGGGCAAGCGGGCAGTGGCTGCGTAGAGAGCCACCCAGCACTGTCCTGAATGACAGGGAGGCAGTGATGAGGATGCCCAGCCATCCTCTTGCCAAGACCAGGGCTGAGTCTTCGTGCCAGGGCCGAGAGGAGGGGTGGGGTGGCAGGGTGGGGCACGGGGCCGCCAGACTCAGGCCTGCTGCCCTAATGGATGTCTAATGTTGACTTTCCTCAGTCGAGTCTCCGCCTGCTTTGTACATGAGCCACATTAGGGTCATGAAACAAAGTCATAAATGCAGCCCGCAGTGCCACAGAGAGCCGAGGCAGCCGTCACCCGGAGGCTGTGTGGTTAGAAGGTAGGGCAAGCCTGCAGCTGCATCCGTGGCTTCCCATATACCTGCTCTCATGGCCACCATCCCCAGAGGGGGGTCCCGTCCCCCTGTTTCACAGATGAGGTGCCTGAGGCCAGGCAGGACTGGTTCAGACCCTGGGGTGTCTGAGTCTGAAGCTTGAGCCCTGCCCTACACTCCTGAGGCCTGAGACTGAAGCAGGGATGCTGGTGGCGGGAGGTGGGCCTGGAGTCCTCTTGGCTGCACCCAGCTCTCCCTAGAACCGCCCGCCTGGCGGGAGGGCCACAGTGAGCAGCTCTCAGGCCACCGGGAGACCCATGTCCAGCTCCCTGGGCACTGTGTCATCTCGCCATCAACTGCCCACATTCCCAGACCCTAGGGGCTGCCAGTTTACCTACAGAGAAGGTGCCTCCCTGTCTGGCAGAGGAAAGCAGGTGTTTGGGAGCCCTGGCCTGGCCTCGGGAATCCTCGGTGCTTTTCTTAGTTTAGATGCCCACTAACCAGGTGACCTTGCATCAGTTTGATGGACTTCAATTTCCCAAGCTTTGAAACACAAAAAACAGTCCTGGCCTTGCTGGCCCTTTGATGAGAGAGCCTCCATAATTGCAGACACCCGGCCAGTGTCAGGGTCTATTAGGAATCTCAGGTATGGGGACACCCACAGTGTTATGGAGCTGCTCCAAAGATAGGCAGTGTGGAGCCCCGGGCAACACTGAAGTCTGGTTTCTTGGGTTCAAACCTTGGTTCTGCCTCTGGCCAGCTGTGTGACCTTGGGCAAGTTGCTTAACTGCTCTGAGCCTCAGCTTCCCCATCAGTAAACTGGGGACCAATATAATATACCTTACAAAGTTGTTGCAAGAATTAGGTAAGTTAACTATGTAAATGAAACACAGCAGTTAATTCCAGGGAAGCATTAGTTGCTATTTTGATGCAGCAGTTTGTACCTAGGCTCCTCCTAGGCACTCATGCATGTTTATCTCATATGATCCTCAAAAGATCCCAGAGAGAGGAGGAGTGCTCACTTCCCTTCCCTCTTCAGAGACGAAGTAACGAGGTTGGAGTTAAGGGCTCTCTCTCCATGGGTCACAGGGAACATGCTGGATTCATCCTTTTTCTTGCTGGCTTCCCCTTCGGTCCCCTAGGTCACGCACACATACCCCACCCACAGCCCAGAGCTTGGAGCCAGTGACAGCCCATGCATTTTCTCAGAGCCTCCGACTTAGCAGAAGCTGTGATCCACAAGGAGAGGACACTGATAAAGCACTTTAGGCACATTTTGTTCATTCTGCTCTTGAAGAACCATGTGTCCCTTTGGCCCCTCTGCCCAAAGCGGGGCTCCCCATACCTGAGATTCCCGTGGCCTCCTGGGGCCCCAGCTCCACTTGATGGACTAGAGCTCTGGGACAGTGACAGGACTGCGCAGGCTGGCGAGGGGCTGGGCAGACACATGCACCCCTGCAGCTTAATTCGTTATTTCCTCGGGAGCAGTTAGCAGAGGAGGACAAGCCCCCTGCCGCTTGTCCCCAGCCACCTGATTGTTTGGGGCTTGGCATTGGAAAGTCAATTTTCCTACGTGGATTGTAAACCAGTAGGCTGGCCCAGCCTGGTTTCCCTCCCTCCCCACACTGGTGGTGGCCAGGCCCCTCTCCCTTCCTGTTTGTCTCACCTCCCGAGGTGCTGTTCTTTCCAGGGAGCCGGCCGGTTTCCATCTGGCCCCTCTGCGGGAGGAGATGGCCACCTGCACAGCCTCACTGCCTTCCCAGCCTCCCGAGTGCCCTCATCCACAGGGCTGAGGGTGTGGATTTGGCTGAAGTGGGAAATGCTAAGGGGGTGGATCAGAGCCACAGACCAGAGGAAGGGAGGGTCTGGGGGGAGGCTACATGGAAGGTGGTCTCCCCTGCATGCTGCTGCCTGCCGCGGGCTTCCTGGAGGAGGCAGCACTCTGGGAACAAGCACCAGGGAGCCCAGGTCTGCTGCTGCCACCCCACCTCAGCCCACCCTCGCCCCTGTGGGCCCTGACTTGTCTCCCTGCTTCCATCAGCCTGGCTGGCTGGGGCTGCACAGGGCAGCTGTGGCTTCGGGGCAGAGCCGGCCTGGTTTGAGCTCCAGCCTCAGGCCCATTTCCAGCTCTTCACATACTGTGGCATCGCTGTGGGAAACTGGAGGGAGGCCGGGGAGGGCCGGTGGGGAGAGCTGGAGAGGGGTGTCCTTGCCCTGACGGGTCACCTCACCTCCCTGGGCCACCCTGACTCCTCCATCTGTAAAAAAGTAGAATCACACAGCATCACAGGGCCGGGACTGGCTCCAAAACAGCCTCTTAAAAGCAGGTCACAGTGGGGAAACCGAGGCCACAGGAGTGTCAGACCTCGCCCACGCCACAGAGGGCGGCCCAGCAGGTCTCCTGCAGCTGCCTAACCCTCCTCCTCCCCTGGCCTCCTCTCTCTGTCACGGCCCCCAGGGGATGGAGGGGACCCGGGCCTCCCAGCCTGTGGCCTCATGGAGCCCTCCCACCCTCCACCCTCTGCAGGCACTGATTCTGGCAGCGAGGTGCTCCCAGACTCCTTCCCGTCGGCGCCGGCAGAGCCGCTGCCCCACTTCCTGCGGGAGCCGCAGGACGCCTACATCGTGAAGAACAAGCCGGTGGAGCTGCGCTGCCGTGCCTTCCCCGCCACGCAGATCTACTTCAAGTGCAACGGCGAGTGGGTCAGCCAGAACGACCACGTCACGCAGGAGAGCCTGGACGAGGCCACCGGTGAGCCCACCCCACTTGCCGGGCACCCCCAGGCCCAGAGGGTCCTGGGCCTGGCTCCACCCTGGCTCCGTGTGAGACCTCATACAGCCACGGCAACCCCGGGCCTCCGTGTCCCCTCTGAGGTTCACCCTGGACCAGTATTTCCCCAAGGCTTGGCCGCTTGCCCTGTCTGACTGGGTGACCAGGTGAAACAGCACCAAATCCCTTGCTGAGAGTGAGCTCCCTTTTCCAGTTACCTTCCATCCTCTGCTTACATCAGAGAGCAGGTCCAGTTGGGGACAAGGTTCTTCCCCGCTCCCCCAGCACCTGCTGTGCTCTCTGTTTAAGGAAGAGGAGCCGGCTCTGTCTTGCAGCCCTGCCCCAACACCCAACCAGAATTCTAGACCATCGCTAGTTTCACAGGTCCTCTGTGTTGGTGAGAAATGATACCGTTTTTGTTCACAATAATGATGCAACGCTTCCTTCATAGAAATCAGTTGGCTTCAGTTTTTTAAAAGGCCTGTAATATTAAGTAAATAATCATAGAGGTGGTGCTAGGATGCAGCCCAAGTTCTGCAGGAGAGGAGAGTGGCAGAAGCGTGGGAAACTAGGAGGAAGCGTGGGATGTGTGCAGGACCCTGGGCACCCCCCACCCCAGGCAGGAGGCAGAGCCTGGGGCTCCTCACATCTCCCAGAGCCCAGCCCCTGTTTACAGTACAGGAGCTTCGGGGGTGGAAATCCTTTCCCGGACTCAGGCCGAGAAGGGGGGCCACCCACTGCGGGTCACCTGCGGACGGCCGGCTTTGGGCAGCCCCAACCAACCCCAGGCTCGGGGTGGCTCCTTTGCCCCAGGGCCTGCCTTGGCTTTGATTTCATTTTTACCATCTCTTCCCTGACCTTTTCTTTCTCCTCCTTTTTCAGCCCTCTCTTCTTTCCTTCTGTCTCTCCTGCTTCTCCCTTCTCATCCCCGTCTCCTTTTGTCTCCTTTTGTGTCTTTTTTCCCTTATGTTTCTCTCTCTCTGCCTCAGTCTCATACTTGTGTCTCTCCCCTGACATACTCTCTTTCACTGTCTCTCCTTCTTTCTTCCTCCTTCAACTTCTATTTTTCTGTGAAAAGCTGACAGATTTCAGAACCACTCAGGCTTAAAATCATACCCCAGAATGTACTTAATGTCATTCAACGCTGTACCCTAAAAATTGGTTAAAATGGTAAGTTGTAGGTTATGTATATTTTACCAAAAATGTTAAAGAATTCCAAGAATTTTAAAAGTTAGAGTTGGAGTCTCATTCTCACTCAAAATCTAAAAATAAAAAAATGATTTTTTAAAAAATTTATTTATTTATTTATTTTTGGCTGCATCGGGTCTTGGATGCAGTGTGCGGGCCCTTCGTTGCCGTGCGCGGGCTTCTCTCTGGTTGTGGTGCACGGGCTTAGTTGCACCGTAGCATGTGGGATCTCAGTTCCCTGACCAGGGATCAAACCTGCGTCCCCTGCATTGCAAGACAGATTCTTAACCACTGGACCACCAGGGAAGTCCCAAGAAAAGGATTTTTTATCTGATTTTTTTTTTTTTCTTTTTTTTGGCCACACCGCATGGCTTGTGGGATCTTAGTTCCCCAACCAGGGATTGAACCTGCGCCCTCGGCAGTGAAAGCATGGAGTCCTAACCACTGGACCACCAGGGAATTCTCCAAAAAAGAAACTTTTAAAAGGAAAAAAAACCCATATCCCAGCTGCCCCCATGCTCTGGCTGTGTGACCCTGAGGAAGTCACTCAACCTCTCTGAGCCCCAGTTTCTCTCGTGGTAAACTGGGATATTAACAGGTCTTGGTGAGGATGGAACAAGGTGGTACCTGTACAGCGTTGAGCACAGTGCCAGGACCCAGCAGGTGCTCAATAAACACCTGTTTCCTCCATCTTCTTTCTGGGTTTTTGTTGGCTTCTTTCCTCTTGAAACCTATTCTTACTTCTCTGTCCCCCTGAGCCCCTCTGGCCCTGCAGAGCAAGGGGACAGTGTATCCTGCTAGGGCCCCTCACAGACTCTGTGATTATTAGTAACAGGGTGGCTCTTACTCCCCTGCTACCAGACACACAAGTCCTGCCAGCCCTAGAAATCAAGACACTGTTGTCCCCATTAGCTACAAAGAATGGACAGTGGTCCAGCAGGCCACACCCTTGGCAGCAGTGTGGCTGGTTCCTCCTTCTCTCCACCCCTAGCCCTCCCTGGCACTCTCTGAAGCCTTGAAAACAGGCTGGGGGCCAAAACAGGTGGGATGAGCCTACCCACTAGCTCATGCCAGGTCAAGGCAGGCAGCCCAACTCTGGGTGTCCTGGTCCAGGCACTGCCTGCCACTGGCCATCATGCTGAGGGGGACACCTAGTCTGGGACCCAAGTCTGGGGGACCAAAGGCCCCTGTCCTCTTTGCCTGCTGGTGACCATTGCCACGGTGTCAAGCCCTGCTGGGTGGTAGTTTATCTGTCCAGCTGTTGGGTGCTCCTGAAACATTCTGGATGGATGACCCCCTAGAGAGGGGCCACTCCTCCAGGCTCCCAGCCTGGTGAATAAAGGCCAGGGCCCCACTCTCCTGCCCCGGGCCACGCAGCATCGCTTGTAGAGCAAGCAGTCCAGGCAGCCACTGGCAGCAGGCAGGGCCCCTGTCCCCCAAGAAGCCTCTTCCCTCCTGGTGTTCCACCCACAGCAAACACCAGCCCCCTCCAATTTAGATCCCTGGCCATCAGGAGGGGTTCCTCACTGTCTGGGCTCCCAGTGCAAGGGCCCCCCTCCCTCAGGATGCAGGAGAGTTAAGGCAGTGATTTCACTGGGAGAGGTCCAGAGAGCTGTCATTCATTACTGGGCAGAGCTCTAACTGGGGCAGGACGCCAGACAGCTGATCTCAGCTCTGCTGGCAACTTGCTCTGGGACTTTGGGCCTGCCACCTACCCTCTCCAAGCCTCAGTTTCTCCAGATGAAAAAGGAAGGGGCTGGATGAGATCCAGATGAGCTGCCAGCTTAGATTTGTGTCCAGCCTGGGCTGGGTGCTGTAATCGCCGTGATTCATTTAGAATTTACCCTGAGTGTTTTACTCTGATGAGGGAACCGAGGCTCAAAGAGGCTACGTAACTTAGCGAAGGTCACACAGTTAGGGAGTGAAGGTAGGGCCAGAATTCAAACCTGTCAAGAAGCAGTCCAGCCCTCCACCTAACCACCATGCCACAGGACTACAATGTGTACACTCAACAGTCCCACCTTTGAGGGGCTTATCAGAACCCACAAGCAACCATGAGAAGATGAGCTCAGATACATGATGGCGAGGAGGAATAGCTTTAGGAATTCCGAGACCAAGGGGGTAGTCAGGGAGGGCTTCCTGGTGGAGGAGGCCTTACAGTTCTCCCACAAGCTTTGGGGAGGAGCTTCGGATGGGTGCCCTCATCCAGAAGGGTTCATCCCTTTCCTGAATGTAGAGGGTTTTGTCAAGGGAGGATTGGCAAAGACTGAGTGATTCCTTCTCTGTGGGCTGGTGGATCCAGTCATTCAGGGAGGCCCTTGGGCCCTAGCAGGGAATCATTGAGAGGTTAGGGGTTCCCAGGAAAAGGGGCCTTCCCTCAACTCCAACCCCACAGGCTCCTGAGCCATGACCAGAGAGAGGCCACATGCTTGCCTCATATTTGTTGAGCCCATTGTCTGTGCCAGGCCCTGGGCCACAGCAGTGAACAGGGCAAAGCACCACCTCATTCTCCTGCAGGAGATACAGTTAACACATGAACACGTCAATAAATAATACAGTTCCAGGTAATGGTCGGTGCCACGAGGGAATCAGGCCTGGTGGGGAATGATAACTGCATAGACCAATGTCCAGTGCAGTGGTGGGAGTGCTGAGCGGTACTTTGACAGCTGGTGGGGGTGGGCCAGCATCAGGGGGCTTCCCTTTGAAGTGAGGCCCAGCCCAAAGCTGACAGTGACTGGGAGTTCACTGGACACAGAAAGGACAGAAGAGAGTTCCAGGCAGGGGGCTGGATGTGCAAAGGCCCTGTGGCTAGAGAGGCCAGGAAAACATGAGGGCCTGGAAGACACCCAGTGAGGCTGCAGTGGGTAGATCGTGCAGGGCCTGGAGGCCACGTGGAAGGTCTGGGTCTTTACACTGGGATGACTGGAGACATAGCAGGGGAATGACATGCCATTTGTGCCTTTTGAAGAGCTATCTGCAGGGTGGAAAGTCAATTGGATGGGGGCAGCGGGCTTGGGTTAGCCACTGAGTTTCCAGGTGAGCTGCAGTGGTGGCTTGGGCCAGGCTCGAGGCAGATGAGATGAGAAAAATGGAAATATGAGGCACTTGGGAGAGGAGCCCACAGGACTCAGCGGGTTGGAAAGGAGAGATACTATGGTCCCATGTCTGGTGTCTTCTGTCCTCAGACCTGCCCCCTGATGGCGTCTCTCTCCTCCTCCCAGGCCTGCAGGTGCGAGAGGTGCAGATCGAGGTGTTGCGGCAGCAGGTGGAGGAGCTGTTTGGGCTGGAAGATTACTGGTGCCAGTGCGTGGCCTGGAGCTCTGCGGGCACCACCAAGAGTCGCCGGGCCTATGTCCGCATTGCATGTATGCCACCCTGACACCCTCACCCCATTCTCCTGAGCCCTTTCCCCTTCCCTGTGGATCCTGGAGAGAGAATTTCACACACAGACATCAGGGCACAGGGATGCCAGCTCAGAAGGCTCCATGACCCAGAACCTGTGACACCTTTGGCCCCAGGATTTCTAACGGCCCTTTTTTGCCTACTTTTATATAAGGAAGCTGCCAGCTTCCTCACCATCCCCGGCCACCATGTGCATAGGATCCCAGAGTCAGGGAGGGAAGCTTGTTCCCCCGAGTCCACCTGGTGAGGCCCCCATCTTGGAGAAGAAGTTCTCCAGGTAAAGGCCGGGTGTCCCCGTGAACATTCCCTTGGTGTGCACTGCCACCTAGTGGCTAGAATGGGGCCCTTCAGGATCCAGCTCTGCCTGACTGGCCTCCTCCCTTGCACCGCCTGACTGTGCCTTGGAACACTTTTCCTTCCTTCTCCCAGACCTGCGCAAGAACTTCGATCAGGAGCCCCTAGGCAAGGAAGTGCCCCTGGACCATGAAGTTCTCCTGCAATGCCGCCCACCAGAGGGGGTGCCTGTGGCTGAGGTGAGTGGGGATATGGGGAACTTTTGGCATGGCAGAGGCCAGCCAGGCATGGTATTTGCCACCAGCCACAATGCCTCAGACTTCCAGAGCCCTCGCATTTCACAGATGGGGATATCAAGGCTAGAGACAGAGAAGGGAACTGCAACCTCTGTAGAACTCAGCGCATGCCAGACCCCAGCTGGGCCCTCCATAGGCATAACCCCACAGGATGGGGCAGAGCTGGGGCAGGAACCCCCAGGGCTCCTTGGGTTGACCCCAGGCTCAGTCTCCTGCAAGAGAAGTGGCCATATACACCATTTCCCCCACCCCACCCAGAACCCAAGGCCCCAGCGTTAGTGGATCGTAATACGTGCATCTGAGCACAGACTCAGCCCACAAGCTGATCACCCCTTCCTACACCACATGGCCTGGGCATCCCTGGGTGGTGCCCACCTGTCCTCTTACTGCCCTGCTTGTGTTCCAGGCCTGCTTCCTCTCTCCCGCTGCCCGCACTCGTGGTCCTCTAGTCAGAGCAGGGCATGGGGAAACATCTCAGCTTTGTTGCCAGGGACCTCAGTAGAACAGGACTGGGGAAGATGGAACCCTGGGCTTCCAGCTCAGAACCTTTGCTCTAATCACTTAGCTTCCCCCCCAGCCCCGGCCCCCATCTGGAAATGAGCTCAGACAGACACCTTCTGTAATAGCTACCCCTCGTGGCTGCCACATGTGCCAGGCACTCGGCCCGCTGGTCCTCATAGCAACCCTTCAAGGTGGATATTGTCATCCCATCTTATGGCTGGGAACACAGCACTGGGACAGGTGAAGCAGTCATCCAGGGTGACCCAGCTAGTGAGTGGCAGAGCTGGCATTTGCACACCCAGGTCTGCCAGACCAGGGACCATGTTTTTAATCACCTGCCAGGCCTCTCACCCTGGCTCAGGGAGTCGGTTTGCGGAGTTAATGATGAAGACATGTTCTTATTTAGTACCAGTACTTACCGTGAGCCAGGCATGGCCTCCACACTTTCCATATACTGATTCATTTCATTCTCACAGTAGTCTTATGGGTAGTGCTATTAAATATCATCTTACAGTTGATGAAATTGAGGCCAAGTGGAAGTCCCTTCCCAAGGCCACTCAGCTGGTGGGTGGTCATCTTAACCACTGTGTTCCGTAGTGTCCAGCACAGTGCCTGGCCCGTGGAGGCCCTGCCCCCTGTGTCACCACCATGGGTGGACATGGCTAGAACTGCAGTCCTGTTTATGGTCAGGCCTCCCTTCCCCCCAAGAGAGGGCCCACTCCCGGGGGTGCAGGGGATCGGGCCCTGGGCCCTCACAGCTGCAACCGTGCCCCTGCAGGTGGAATGGCTCAAGAACGAGGACGTCATCGACCCCACCCAGGACACCAACTTCCTGCTCACCATCGACCACAACCTCATCATCCGCCAGGCTCGCCTGTCAGATACGGCCAACTACACCTGCGTGGCCAAGAATATCGTGGCCAAGCGCCGCAGCACCACCGCCACCATCATTGTCTACGGTGCGGCCCAGAGTGGGCTGGGTGGGGGTGCGGGGGAGGACACGGCCGAGGAAGGGGGAGAGCCTGGGGCTATACGGCTGACCCTTCCCTACCCAGAAGCCAGCAGGACCTTGGTGAACGGGTGGGGAGGAAGAGGAGGCCCAGAGAGGGGAGGTGCCGTCGCAAGGTCACACAGCAAAGCTAGTGGTGAAGTCAGGAGCACTTGCCCCTTCTCAGGCCCTTTGCTTATCCCTGAAGGGGAAAACCCAGTTCTCTGAGAGTCAGGGCTAAGGCAGGGCCCAGTCGGTATCCCCATCCCCGAGCCTGTTGTTCTAGCAGTTAGGGACTACTGTTCAGGCCGGTCATCTGTTCCTTGCTGTCCCCTTGGGTGGGAGGGCCAGAGCCATGGCTACAATGAGTGTCGTAGAAAGAGCCCTGTACTGGGTTCCAGTTCCAAGCTCCCCATTACTCACGGGGAGACCTTGTGTAAGTGTCAGCCCTCTCTGGACCTTTGTTTGCCATTGTACAATGGGGCGGGGAATAGACAGTGACCTCCTGGGTTGCCTCTGGTGCTGACAGATGCAGCCCAGGTCTGCCCGCTGGTATCTGAGTCCACAGCCCTGGAGGCAGGAGGGGTCCAACTAGGAAGGGCCAGGCCTCAGCAGAGGCGCCTCATCATGGCTGGAGGATGGGGCTTGGAGGCCCCACGGGGCGAAGAGCCATGCCAACCTGCTGACAACTGCTACCCCTGCAGTGAACGGCGGCTGGTCCAGCTGGGCCGAGTGGTCACCCTGCTCCAACCGCTGTGGCCGTGGCTGGCAGAAGCGCACACGGACCTGCACCAACCCCGCCCCACTCAATGGAGGTGCCTTCTGTGAGGGCCAGGCCTTCCAGAAGACTGCCTGCACCACCGTGTGCCCAGGTGAGGCCACCGGCCAGGTGGCAGTCCACCCATGCCCAGCCCCATGCCAGCCCCAGCCCTGCCTTCTGTGCTTTGGTGTCTGCCAGTCAGAACAGCCCATCTTTACCCGTTAGGGTGGGTAAGGACAGAAGGTGCTTGTCCCGGGCCCCCCAGCTGGCTCACCAGGCTGGATTGGGTGCTACGCCCGCTGACCTGTTCTGCCCTGGGCTGCGGGAGACACAGAGGCAGAGGCTCTGAGCTGCAGTCTGAGGGGTGGGCGGTCTGCTCTCCAGGCCGAGGGTTGTCAGCGCCAGCCCCCAGGCCCGGACCCCAGAGGCTCCTGGGGTCAGAGAGCCTGTGCTCCTGCCCTCGACTGCTAGACACACCTGGCCGCTGACCCTGCAGTCCTCTCTTTCTTCTGTGTTACTCTGTGGCCCCGTTGGTTGGTCTGTGTTCTCTCTTTGGTGACATGTTTGTGTGACTGATGTGGTGTTTTTCACCCTGGGTTTGTGCCTCTGCGTGTACACTTGTGCCCTGGGCTGTATCTGCCTCAGTGACGTTATGTGTCTATTTGGGCTGTCTTCGCCCACCTGGTGCTCCCGTCTCTGCACTGGCATGAGGCGTGGATTTCTCTGGATGGCATGCGTGTGTCTTGGGTTCCTCTTTCCCTGCTGCACTGTGTGTGTGTGTGTGTGTGTGTGCATGCACTGCTGTGTTGTGCACACATAACTGTGTGTGCATTCTATGCATGCGTGTGTCCCCATGCACCACGTGCTGTGTCCCCACAGTCGATGGCGCGTGGACAGAGTGGAGCAAGTGGTCGGCCTGTAGCACCGAGTGTGCGCACTGGCGCAGCCGCGAGTGCATGGCGCCCCCTCCCCAGAACGGAGGCCGGGACTGCAGCGGGACCCTGCTTGACTCCAAGAATTGCACCGACGGGCTGTGCGTGCAGAGTGAGTCCTTGGAAGGCAGGGCCCAGGGTGGGGGCTCTGGAGCCAGATACGGGCCCCCTGGCCCCCACCTCCCAGCCTGCAGTGGAGCAGCCCCTCGGGGCCCCTGCCCACCTGCTACTCTGTCATCTCATCCATGCATCTCCCCGTCACCTCCTCTACCACCCTTTCCCTGCCGTCTGTGTCATTGTCTTTCCCTTTATTTCCCTCAACAGATAAGAAAACTCTAAGTGACCCCAAAAGCCACCGTAAGTCCCATTTCATGGCTGTTCTCTTTCCTCTGGGGGGATCCCTGGTTTTCCTCAGTTGGCTTTTCCAGGGGGTGGGGTGCAGGGCAAGGTGAGGGGCAGGGAGAGCTGAAGGTGCCCACTACCAGCCCTCCACGGGGTTCCCAGCACCTGACGCTGCATGTGGCATGGTCTTCATCACAGTCAGACAGGCAGACCCTCAGCTGACAGAAAGGCCCTAGGATGCCATCCTGACCCCTCCCATCATAGGAGGAGAAACTGATTCTCAGAGAGAAGGGACATACCCAAGGATCCAGCCAGGATTTGAACCTAAGTATTTGGCCAGAGCTGGTGCTCCGAGCCCCACCCCTTGGTTGTCCTCTGTGGGAGGCCGCCAGCAAGCAGGCCCACACCTGCCCCTCCTGTGCCCCCAGCAGCCGACTGAAGCCTCCTAGGTCCTTGGGATGCCTCTGCGTCAGACCCTGGGGGCTCATCGTCCACCCCCCAGGGGCTATGCTCCGCTGTGGTAAAGCTGCTTGGGCAGATTGGCATGTGGTAATTAAACCACAATTTCCAAATAATTCTGGAATTATCGAATCAGTAATGAGGCCTTCAGTGCACCTCACAGGGGGGCCAGACTGGTGACTGATTAGATATTGTAAATCACCAGGCAAGTGACCCCCATGATTAGTGACGATGTCATGAGGCGAAGCCCCCAGAGAGGTGGGAGCCCAGCCCTGGGGACCTTCTCCGGCAGCTCTCCTGGGGAGCCCAAGGATGAGGAGAGATGGGGGTCCAGAAGGTGGTAGAAGCAGGCAAAAATGAGGGCTGAGAGCCCTGCCCTACCTTGCTGAAGCTCAGGCCCCACCAGGAAGGAAAGCGGGCCTTCCTCTCCGAGGGTCCCTGGGGAGGGGAGGGAGTGGACAGGGGCTTCCCGGAGCTCCCGAAGGAAACAAGGGGGAAGGGCAGCCGTCTTGCCTAGGCTGTGCTGTCCAGTGTAGTAGCCACTAGCCACGTGTGGCTTGAAAATTGTATTTATCTTAGCTGAAAATAAATATATTTAAAAACTCATTTCCTCGGTCAAGCCAGCCGCATTTTAGTAGTTTAATAACCACCCGTGGCTAGTGGCTGCCATGGGGGACAGTGCAGACACGGGCTGGGCCATCACCATGGAAAGTTCTGTTGGGCAGCCCTGCTTTGGACCCTGCCTCTTGACCCCGACACTTCCTCGCCTAGCTATGTGGAGTTACTTCTAGCTGAGCAGCAGCCTGCCCTGCCCCTCACCCAGAGCTGGACCTCCTCCAGCCCAGCAGCCTGTCTGGAGGCAGGGAGTGTCGACATGGGTTGCCTCCCTGAGCCCCTTCCTTCCCTTCCACCTGCTCCCCTCCTCTCCATCCCATTGCCACGCATCTCATTCCCCTCGTCCTGTTCCCCCTCCATCCCTCCCCCCCACCCCCGCCCACCTCCTGCCCTCAGCACAAAATGGAAGGTGAGCTCAGAGCGGCTACTTGCAGAGATTTCTGGGAATCAGGGCCTTGGGTCCTATAGAGATTGCTGCAGGCTGCTAGTAAGGCGCTAGGTCTTAATCCCAGCTCCGAGAGGACACTTAGTGGTCCTGTGACTCTGAGCCACAGGCGCCTTGTCACCTCCTGGGCAGAGAGCAATGAGTTAACTCTCGGGAGTGTTAACTCCAGGAGTCCCTTTGCCTCTCCATGCCACACGGGGAGGGAAGCAGGGCAGCGGGGCAGGGACATTTAGACCATTTTACTTATAGAGACTGATGCTCAGAGAGGTTCAAGGCTTGCTTGAGGTCACCAGCCTGTCTGGCAGGGCTCAGATTAGAACCTAGCACAACACCAGTCTGTCCCAGGCCCTGCCTCTCCCCGGGGACCAAGGGAATCTCTGGCTCCCTCAGGGCCAGCGCCTCTGCCCCCTGGCCCTCACTCAGCCCTCCTGTCCCCGCAGTTCTGGAGTCCTCGGGGGATGTGGCGCTGTACGCAGGCCTTGTGGTGTCCATCTTCGTGGTGGTGACCGTCCTCGTGGTGGTAGGGGTGGTCGTGTACCGCCGCAACTGCCGGGACTTCGACACCGACATCACCGACTCGTCCGCCGCCCTCACTGGCGGCTTCCACCCAGTCAACTTTAAGACTGCGAGGCCCAGTAAGGACCTGGGAACGCCTGGGGTGGCGGGTGCAGGCAGGGTTCCCAGGGGGTGTGGCAGCCAGCCAGACCAGCCAGACCAGAGCAGAGGCTCCTGACTCCCTCAAGAGGTTTTCCTAGAGTTTTCTCTAAAGATCACTGGATGAGTTTGGTTACAGAGATGCAGGAAAGAAGAAGTAACCTACGTGGTGAGTCCCTAAGCTTCCTACCGCAGGTGGCAATGGAACCTTTCAGAGCTGGACGTTTGGGTAGGATTTTGTAAAGGAAGGCGCCCCGGCAGGTGCAGACAGTGGGACGGGGCCAGCGAGGCATGGCTGGTCTGACTGCAGCCCCCGGCCCTGCAGACAACCCGCAGCTCCTGCACCCATCTGTGCCTCCGGACCTCACTGCCAGTGCGGGCATCTACCGCGGACCCATGTACGCCCTGCAGGACTCGGTCGACAAGATCCCAATGACCAACTCACCCCTGCTGGACTCCCTGCCCAACCTCAAGATCAAGGTCTACAACTCTAGCACCACCAGCTCTGGGCCAGGCCTGGCAGACGGGGCTGAGCTGCTGGGAGTCCTGCCACCCGGCACGTACCCTGGTGATTTTGCCCGGGATGCCCACTTCCTGCACCTGCGCAGTGCCAGCCTCGGCTCCCAGCAGCTCCTGGGCATGCCCCGTGACCCGGGGAGCAGTGTCAGCGGCACCTTTGGCTGCCTGGGCGGGAGGCTCAGCATCCCTGACACAGGTGGGTCCCTGCTCTGCTCACCCATCAGTCTGGCCTCAGCATGTCCCCTCTAGACAGTCTCAACACTCACCCAGCAGAAGATAGGGCTTCCCTGGTCCCATTTCACAGATTGGGAAAGTGAGGCCCAAGGGGAAGAAGTGATTATAAAATAGAAGACCTGGAGTCCAGGTCTGCCTCTGCCTCACAAGGGCAGGGGAACTCTCTAAACCTCAGTTTCACCATCTGGTGAGTGGGAAAGTATACCCCGATGCAGTCAACAAACCTACAGAGTGCTGTTGAAAAGGCAGGGCTGCCCAGCGCAGGTTGCAGAGCCAGCAGTTGACAGTTTCCCAGCATCATACACCGAGCTAGGCTGGGGCTGGCACTGCACCTTCAGACTCCAGGTCTTTGCCCCATCTCTACACCCGATCGCAATGCCAGTGGCCCCTGTGCTACTGGACAGCCCCTCTGCAGTCAGTGACCTGGCCTTTCCCTGCACCCAGTCCCCTCTCCCCACTCCTTGCTGGTGACCACCAGGAGCTCAGATGTCTTTCTCTCCCTGCTCCAAGATGGGGGCCAACCCCCCATCCCCTGTTCTAAGCTCCTGGACTCCCTCCAGCCCCTCCCTACTGACCTCCCTCTCCCCCTAGGGGTCAGCCTGCTGGTGCCCAATGGAGCCATTCCCCAGGGCAAGTTCTACGAGATGTACCTCCTCATCAACAAGGCAGAAAACACCCTGTGAGTATAGAGACCCCAGCCCCAGCCCAGCTGCCCCCTCCTCAGCCTCTCTCTCCCTGCTGCTTGCCCACCTTGGGCTCAAATGTCACCATCTCCCCTTCTAAGTCCGATCCTAAGGCCAGAGGTAGTTCTCCAAGGAAGACATTGCTAGATCTTATTATGTTCACATTTAAACCATGCAAAACCAGCACAACAAATCATAAAACTGAAAACCAGTTGACCAGCTGGCTACAATATGACAAAGGGCTACTATCCTTACTATGTAAAGAGGTTTGGGAGATCAATAAGAAAAACTGAACATCTCAGTACAAAAATGGACAAAGGATATGAACAGGTGATTCACACACACTCTCTCTTATACACACACACACACACACACACACACACACACACACACACACACA